GTGTGTGTGTGTGTGTGTGTGTGTGTGTGTGTGTGTGTGTGTGTACATATAGTTTCTACTCTAAAATATGGCCTAGATTTTAGAACAATATATATATATATATATATATATATATATATATATATACACACTACTTTTTTTTTTTCCTTTCAAAATGCTTGCTACAGTTCATCCAAGATGGCCTAAAACCAGTCAAATGGTGTTGTGTCATAGAGACAGGCACCGGGTGGGAGAGGCTGTGCTGAGACATGCCCATTACAGAGGCAATGTGAAAGCAGAACACACAGGAGCACGGGAAGGTTGCAGAGGGGATGTGCTCACTGCAGGCTAAAGAAGAAACAACAGGGACAGGAAGGGGAGTCTATTAATCTTTTTTTTTTTTACTGTATTTCTGCCCTTTTTATAAAAACGCTTCTTCTTTAGTTCTTGATTTTATCTTTTTTATCATTTATTTTTGTTAAATTAACTGTTGGACTGCAGGGAAATAAAAATAGTTTACAGAATCACTAGCTTTCTGCCATATGTTTCATAATGCCTGCTGCTGAACTGGTCCTTAAAGTGCCTGGATTCCCTTCAGTCCTGCATGCTGCTGACCAGTTTACTTGCTGGGATTCCTTTCCATTGAATTTGCTGCTACCTTGCATGTTGCCTTGACTATGATTTTTCTGTAGTGCCTTTTAAAGACTCTGGTTCTTTCTTACCGGAGGCATATTTATAGTAGCTTGATTTAGTTTTCCTAATTATTGGGGACGTTCCCAGTAGGATATGTTCCTTTGTCTCCTCCCTAATGTATCACAGAATATATTCCAATTTAAAAGTGGCTTTGTGTGCATGCTGTTAGTCTGGGATCACTTGTACTAAATCACTCTCCTGTGGATTTCCCTGCAGCTAGCTTTCTCTCGTGATTCATTCAGCTCTTATGAAATATCTGCTACCCAAATCCTTACTCTTTAGTAGAGACATCTTAGTATTGCCAGTATCAATATGTTTTATATTCTTCTGGCTAAATGTCTGTCTGAATTCTTTATTATATGTTAAAAGAATTCAGGGGTTCCTTTTTTGAGGTGGTATTTTTTCTTCTGGTCTAATTAAAATGTACCATGTCCATACATAAAGCTGGAAATATAGAATTGAAAGTCAGGTTATTACTGGTATTTGCGAGTGTACTGTATGCATACTATGTACAGAATGCTGTATATTAATATACACAATCAGATTTATGTGTATATTGCTCTATCTAGCTCTAGCTGTATTGCAGGGACACAAACATGTTTGTGTATGTTAATATCATTAACACCCTTTTGTATGTGCTGTCCACACAAACTGGAACCCAGACATGCACCGACACTGACTTGCAAATACAGAGGTGTGTGTAAATATAATATTGTGTTCCTTAGTCTACTGTGAAACATGATTGTGTCAATGCTGGCTTCCACAGTTGGTTTTAAAAGAGAATTAGTTCATAATGATTACAAAACTAGATCTGAAGAATTTACCTAATCTGGTTTAATAAATAAACATGTGAGAGTGCTTATCTGGGATAAATCGAGGGACTATACATATCCTTTTATTTTTTTTTAACAGAATGAAAGTGCCCTTGTGAAAGAAAAGGAGCTATCAGTCGAGCTTGCAAACATCAGGGATGAAGTTGGTAAGTAGGGCTTCGGATACTAACAATGTGAAAAATGTCCTTTCTCACATGTAACAAAAGCAGTTATTCCTTGTCGTGTGGTACAAGGAAACCCGCAGAGCTGTAATAAAGTATCTTACTAAGCCCAGTGGTGAATTTTTGTGGCTTTGCAGGGAACAATAATTTTACCTCATTGTTGTTGTGGAGACAGGTTCATAACCGTACACACTGGAGCTAATCATGCATTATCTTTACTATTCACAGACGGTGATCTATAAATCTGTATCCTCTGTTCTAACAGCATCTGAACATGCCACCCAGCTCAGAAGGCCTTCAGATGTGGCAGTGCACGGTTAGCTAGGAATTCATTACTTTGGTTGTGTGAGTTTACACGTACTGCACCCTGGTTACAAACAGAAGAGCACCAAGATCAAAACCCAAAATCAGTGTTCTACAAAAACTAACACTTAGTAAATCGGTTATAATCTCTCTGTGCCTAGAAAGGCAGGGACTAACTCAGCTGGTGCCACTCATCCCATTTATTCTATGTACATCTGGGTGAGCACATTTCCCTTTTTTTTTCTGTTCTGAAAGCTGATCGGAAAGGCAGTGACCATTAGACCATTGATTGCATCTCTAGGGAGAGGAAAACGGGCCCTACTCAGGGCCCAGACATCAGGCTGAATTCTTTGTACCTGAATCTTCCCAGCATAGATGGAGTGTGTTATGCTTACCATAGAGCAAAAAGCAATTAACGGGCTGGGGAGGTGCGTGAGGGGGGGCGGGGACTGCTGAACATGTATCAATGAAAGCATGGCTGTACAGCTTCCACACTACTCCTGCCTAATGGCAAGACTAAGGCCAAAGAGGGGAGCGGGGAGCTAAGAGCCTCATTAACTTGGTTGCATTTGATATGAAGGTTGCATTTTAAAATGGTTCATAAAGGGTTAATAAGTGATCAATAGGTGTTTTATATAAATTGTTATAGAGTCCGATAGAGTAACTGATTGCTTATAATCATCGATAACCCATACTCCAACATGCTTATAACATATAGTAACCCTATATAAACAGAATCTTAATATGAAGTGTTATTATTAGCTTGATCAGGCTTGTGATTAAGTAAATAGAGATATCCTATCTCCCATGGAAGGGACCTTGAAAAGTCATCGAGTCCAGCCCCCTGCCTTCACTAGCAGGACCAAGTACTGATTTTTGCCCCAGATCCCTAAGTGGCCCCTTCAAGGCTTGAATTCACAACTGTAGGTTTAGCAGGCCAATGCTCAAACCACTGAGCTATCCATGTCTCCCCAGACCCTGCTATCCTGTGTCCCCCACACCTGATTCCTTTTTAACCCACACTCTGGAGAGTCAGAGTAGGTGTGAGACACCCACTCAGTGCAGAAGACTTTACTTCGGGCTTAACTTTATTTGCCTTCTTCCATTTTTAAAAACCCTTACACCACCCTTCCCTGACACTTGTGCTGGAGATCAATAACCTGGGCTCCCTGCTGTGCCCCTCAAAGGGATTTGCATTACCCAGACTGTGGTAGTGCTTCGCTGCTCCATCCCCACAGAATGGTCCACCGGGGGCCGAGATCACATTTGCAATATCACTTTTATCTCTGTTTTCATCTCTACTGTGTTCTCCCCTTCCCCTCCCAAAGGAATTGCCGCAGTGTTTTTGCTTTTCAGGCAGGGAGGGAACATTTGAAGGGCTCTGCTCTGGTTCGCAGACCTATTCCTTGTTTTCAAGTTCTGTGTATCACTAACAGTCTGGCTTTGATCCTGCCTGTCTCTGAGTCTGACAAGCGCACAGTAGGGAACACAAGGTTGTTGCACTCCAGTGCATTTGTAGGCACAGAGAAGAAGAAGCACTGGCTAGGGCCAGATTCTACTTCCAGTTACTCCAGCTTTATGCCAGTGTAAATCCACTGAAATCAATAGAGCTCCTTCCACATTTACACCAGTGTTGCTAGGAGCCAAAGGTGTAAACTACTGTACACAGTCTAGAGGTCACACTGCAGCACTCTCAATAATGCAGGATCAGGTTCCTCTTTGCTTCCTGCCCTACTCATCACTATTTACCTGGCACTTATGTACACAACAATAGACACCTTTGCTGTGAAGGATCCAGTCCCAGCCGAGGAACATAGGCAGCTGTTTTAGGTGCTTGCCCAAGGAAATAAAATGCACCTGAAATGGTCTCTGCTCCTAGGCTGGGGGGAGGGATAGCTCAGTGGTTTGAGCATTGGCCTGCTAAACCCAGGGTTATGAATTCAGTCCTTGAGGGGGCCACTTAGGGATCTGGAGCAAAAATCTGCCTGGGGATTGGTCCTCCTTGGAGCAGGTGGTTGGACTAGATGACCTCCTGAGGTCCCTTCCAACCCTGATATTCTATGATTGATTCTCAGCTATAGCCCAGAGCACCAGCTGCAGGGTTTTCCCTAGACCCTACACGCCCCCTGAATTTCCCCAATTGGCAGTGTTGCCAATTTAGTTGTTGGTTGGAAATTTGAATTGAAATTCAAACTTTAATACACACTTTCAAAGCATACACAGTATATGAGAAAATACTTGTACCTGAGAAAGCAGAATGGGTTTGAAAAGTATGAACAAAGACTAGCTTCCTCATACAGCTGTTATTTATGACAATGTCGGCACATTCGTTTCGGCAATGTTGGCCTACTTTATCATTTAAAATTATGATTTGTAAGCAAGGTCTGAATGAGCTCTGCCCTGACAGCTAGTGATGAGCCAAGGGAGGGGGAAAGGCTTCAGGACCAGACTGTATTTACATGAACACACCTACTCTGCCTAGGTATCCAGCAGACAGAGCTTTGCTGCCCAATTGATCAATTTTGGCTGATGCTGAGTTACAAATCACTGAAGTATTAAATGTGGGGGTCATGACATGTTGCTATCCTTATTGTATGAGTAAAGGGCAGCAGAACTGTACTTAGCCTGAC